GGAAGGAGAGACCGGACACGGGACATCAGAAGATGCAATTCTAAGAGTTTCCAGAAGTGGAATCCCTGTGCTTTTGTCTTGACTTTTGAAAAGAAATTCTGTTACTTCTGATTCGCAAAATGAGTTAGAAAATATCAAGATTTTCCCTGCAATGATTCTTCTCTAAACTCACTCCCGCAAGTTTGAGACGCGCTATTTTTGATATCCTCAAGTCGGCTGGTGACACCACATGTGTGAGCTGACGGGTTCCACATCTGCTGGGGCCCTGGAATGCCGAGTCTGGAGGCTTGGCTGCGCTCACCCTGGCTGTGGCTCCACGCGGAACCTTCTCTTGTTTTCTGAAGAAATTCTGAAATCACAGAGACGTAGAGGTGTAAACTCCCATTCATCACCGGGAGGTATTAACTGGGAAACCTAGTTATCTTTCCACTTAAATGGCAACAGTGTTAACCTTTTTGTTGAGTCAGAAATCTCTCTTTTCTGGGGTAGGCCCGTGGAGCTGTTTTTAGAATGTTCCACATTTTCTGAGGGAGTCCTCCAGAGGGGAAAAAAATGCTGAGCTTGCTCTCATAGGCACACGACACCAAAGCTTTGGCCCAAAGGAAGAACTGAATTCTTTGAAAGAGAATGAAAGATTGCCGTATGTAAGAATCAAAATAAAAATGTGAATGGCTGATGATTCACAGGGAAAGAGAGGTGAATCTGAAGTTTGTTTAAACCAGAGATTTTTGAAGTAGAGAGGCGATTAGTCTGAATTTCTCACATAATCTAATATTTATTTGAATGGTGGGTACCACATGAAAATGGATGCTTGACTGTCAGCAAGAGGGGGAAATCCCCTTGCAGTTTAAATGAAGGATTTTTACTTTTAACAGTTTAATTGAAGAGTTTTTCCTTCTATTTTATGGTGAGAAGCAGAGCCTTCTTAGAATAATAGATTTTAAAAAAATGCACCTTTGTTCTGACAATCACATTTGTAGTAAAATGTAAGGAAAAAAAATGCTTCCCATTTGCTTTTCCCCAAAGTTGGCCTAAATATCCAGGATAATAATCAGAATAAAGCTGTTGAGAATAAGACACATGGAGAGAGTTAGTTCGTCATGTATCTTGGCATTCCTTCTGTCAGAACTGGTCACTCCAGAACAAAGTCAGACATCCACACGGTGTCTCCTGGCCCCAGGAAAGGCCAAGAACTGGCGGTGGGGTGGTCTGCCCTAAGACAGGCAGTTAGAGAACCCATGGTCTGTGGAGACTTTTAAGAACAACAAAACCAGCTCAAAGCCTTTCTGCTTCATGTTATTACTGTGACTGGATATGTGGAGTATCTACAGGGTTTACACACCCCTCCCTGCAGGGGTTGTGGGCTCTCTCCATCTGCCTGCCTCGATACGCCATTGTCTGTACCCCAGATAGGGCAGAGGCAGAAGGCGGCACTGGCTTCAGTATGTAACAGGTTATAAAACATCCTAAAATGATTCTATGTGTAGGATAAAGAAGCTCCTAGGATTTTATCTAACATGGCCATCAAGTGACTGGGAATGAAAATAGAGCTCACTCCCGGAGAACACTTACTGAGCACCGGGCACTGGCTGGGGCTCATGGGCCATGGGTGAGGAACCAGGCACCATCCCTCCCCTTAGGAAGTGTGCGGTCTTTGGGTGGAGGGACAAAAATCCCACCCATTGGCATCAAGTTGCACCTGTGTCCAGTCTAAGAGAGGGCAGGTGGGGATTTTTGACTGCTTAGAGAGATCCAGAAAGACCTTTTGAGGAACTGGTCTAGTAGGTCTTCCAAGATTAGTTGTCAAGCCAAGGACTAAAATCAGAAATTTTTTGCCTGCAATCAGCTAGAGTCATGTCCTCTCTCGAATCTTTTTAGAACAAAACCCATCTCGAGGGCCGTAGCCTACATCCTTTTAGTTATTGTGGAGCCGTCTATCCAGTGAGGTTGGGACGTGGTTGGAGCACATTCTGCTAACACTCTGCCAAGGGCCTCCTCTCGATACCCCTACTCTGGGCATGCCCCTTAGCTCAGTGGCTCTCAGCCCTGCTTGTACGTTACAATCCCAGAGCTTTTTTTTTTTTTTTTTTAAATTTTAAAAATTCCCCTGTCCAGGCCCCACCCTGGCCCAATTAAATCAGAATCTTACAAAGGTGGGGCGGAAAGGGGAGGACACACTCCACTGTCCAAAAGCCACCTGGATGACTCTAGCATGGGCCGGAAGAGAGAACTCTCTTGCCATCAATGAATACACTTAATTTCACTTAGTCTAGGAAGAGGAATTTTAAATTTTACCCTAAAAATACTTCAGAATGCAAAAAGAAACGCTTTGGCAAGAGGTGGGCGAGTGCTTGTGTCTGTATACACACGTGAAGGGTTTGGCACTCGGTCTCCGTGCACGTGATATGCTCTCCAGCTTGGTGGCGCGTGCTGGAAACGCAGCAAATGGCTGGAGGGTAGAACGTCTTAGACTCTGGAATCAGGTTGATTGGGAGAGGCAGACCCTTCCAAGGGCCATGGAGTTCCATACAGAGGCAAGTACACAGCTCAGTGGAGAAGCAGATTTCTGGCTTTCTCTCTTCGCTTCCAATTCTCCCTGTCTCCCTCTCCCCTCTCCTTTCTCTTCCACTGCTGCTTCATTCAACCTCATAAATTAATAATTCAGCTTCTTTGAGGAACCACCTTCAAATCTTAGACAGTGGGATTTCTTTTCTTTATTTTTGTCCTTTAAAAACATAAAAAGCATTGTGATCACCTTACATGTAAGTGAGATGGATGTATTTTTGCCACCAGTGTTGAAAATATCCCCAGGCATCTGGTGTGTATGAATGTGTACACATAGTACACGCATAATAAACATATTCCACCTTATGAATATTTATACACAAGATACATATATATTGAATATAGACATATATATGTAAATAGTAGCCCTCGTAAACTATATGCTAACTGTGTTTCCAAGCATATGTATCATAGTGCACCAGGAATATAATGAACCTACCACCAAGTTTAGCCTATTTTGAGGTGGCATTTTCTGCAAAGTTGTTTATGGTAGGGTCTAGTTGCTCTCCATGTATTTTTTTTTTTCCATCACTTCACTGTTGGTTAAGTACTAACTCAAAGTAAGGCACTGGGCATGGCAGAATTAAGAAAGATGAAATAGATGAAGTCCCTGCCTTCAAGAGACCTCACAGAGCCACGTAAAATGCACTTAACAAAGAATCGAAGAATGTAACGTTGTTCCTACCCATTGACTTCTTTCTGTTTTTCCTCCAGCTGCCTTTTATTTATACACTCCACTTTAATGTGGGCCCCATTTAAGATTCTATTAGCTTAGACCCTGATGTAGCTGCAGCGTAGGGCTCGAGGCTGTGAGAAGGACCATTACAGTTTCAGTGCCCGCATAACCACTGGACGTGAGTGGTGCTTACGCTCGCTGTCGCATGTAGCCCAATCCTGTAATGGCATTTTTATGTTACTCTGATTTGGCGGGGGCAAGGGGGGTGGCAGTTTTGGGGGAAGGTGTCCTAGAAAGGCACCCGATCCCAGAGATGTTCCTAAATTTCAAAAAGGAAACCAAAACAGAGCAGTGTCTTCTCCCACCAACTTCTTGTAACCCAGATGTCCCTGGCCGTGACATTCCACTTCCAAATTCCATCCCGTTCCCTCTATGGAATAAGTAGCAGAGGCCTGTATTAAAAACAAGCAATACATCCTAAGATGGACAAGATCTGGATCCGTTTCCAAAATGACAGTACCTCGTCTAGCAGAGGAGCTCTGAGTGATACTTGTCAGCGGGCAAATTTCACTCCATGGAAGGAGAAACAATACACAAGGGCTGTCATCGCTGTGGCGCAGACGTAGACGCATTGTTTTCTCCCCCTCCATCCGTACATCACAACAGGTAGTTCTCAGCTGTTTCCGTGGTGCCAGACATACATTTTATCTAAAGAGACAGCAGACAGAACTACCTGCTGCTTCCTGTGCGACTCTCCCTGTGTTTCTCTCCTTTTTCCTACTTCACTTGGGCTTTTTAAAACCAGCTGGCAGGGAGCCAGGAGCTCATCATTTTAATGCAGTGCAAAATGGAATATGCATAATTATATGCAAGCCATATGTGAGGGAGACAGCTCAGCTGTGAATTTCAGGAGGCCAGGGAAGGGAGAGCAGCTAGGGCTAAGATGAGATCAGAGCAGAGCACGGTGCAAGTGTCACCCAAATGAATGGTTTAATGAGTGTGCTGCAGACACGCCTCCTCTCACCTACCTCTCCCTCTCTCCAACGCCAAACCAGAAACCGATGGAGATTAGAAAGCGAAGACTGTATGCAAGCGGTATTGCTAATGGGTTCTGTTAATGTCTCCATTTAAACTTCAGCTTTCTTAATTAACAGTGTAGATCAAAATAACCAGTAACTTTTAACGCAGCTTCTTAATTAAATCTATTTTTTTACTGCATTCGATTGAAGAATCGTTGTTCTTACTAGATCACTGCTCCTTTCAGATCTTTATTTAAAAATCAAGGGGAATCAGTTTATCTCTGACAGTATTACAATGCAAAATATAACAATGCAAATTGCTTTTCTTATGGCCTTGCTATTAGAATTTTTTTTAAGTGCATTATCTAGAGATTGCTTAAGCATGCCAAAAAGTTTAAACACGTACGTATGTCATATAACCCTGAATGTGCCACGAAAAGTCGCGGGAAGCCCGAAGTGGTGGTAATTTCCAACCAAATTGTTTGATTTTGGTTTGCTTCATATCATTTAAAATATTACACCACGATGAATTTGCATGTTCAAACCAAACTATGTAAAGAAAAATAAATCCCAAATTTTTATACCTAAAAGGCGTACTGCGTATTTAAACAAACTTCTTAATAATGTTGTTATTTCTGGATTCCCGTTTGTTTAATGATCTGAGCTGTTATGCTTTTAGCTTTTTTTTTTTTCTTCCATTATTTGTAAGTCCCTAAATAGGCCATTATATTTCCCTTCAGGCTAGAGATGAAGATGGACATGCTGAAAATTTTCCCCAGCAGCACTATGCTAAGGAAACTCCAAGGCTTGCCTTCAAGAATAACAGCGAACTACTTGTAAGAATAACATACTTACAACAAGTCTAGAATGTTACTTTAGCACAGTGAAAACAGTTTTTGCAAGGGTTTGTTCATTATTACATAATTTATGAAGTATTATAGTTTTTCTGTATAGAGTTCTAAATGCTAATTCTGCTATCACTGAATATTAATGATAAGATCTCAAGTTGTTTGCAAATCTTTTATATCTGATTATAGAGCTTGGATGGCCCTGTCTTTATTAGCTTGTTTTGTATAGTAGTTTATCACCAGCCATTTGGAGAATGGCTAGTAAAGTTAAAAATACAGAGAAAGACAGTGGATATATGTAGCTTGGAAAAAAAAAACAAAACAAAACAAACCAATCCCACCACCTCTCCTCCTCCTACTTCCTAATTGTACACTATTTTAGGACACAACATGGTAATATTTTGTTCTGCTAGGAAAGATGGCAGAGTTGACACGCAGTACTCCCTTTAGAAGTCAAGTGTTCCTACACTGTCTTGCCAAGCTCAATCAGGCACTTTCGTCTTTCCTATGTAGGAGAAGTCAAAGCAGCGACAGGATGCGGGGATGTTTACAAGTCGTGAGAGAGAGGATATCAGCTGTGACAGGGACTGTGTTCCAGCGTAGGGTTAATTTGCTGTTCATTTTAGCATTTACAGCAAGACAAGATGAAAAGCAAGCAGGAATGCCTATTATATTTCTATTAAATGAATCTGTTGGGACCTAATGTTCTTGATTAGCTTTTGAAAATGAGTGCTCCGCAATGCATTTTCTGTTTACCTAAAGTAAACAGAGAATGAATTGTCATTTATTTAGAGATTTAAACACTGCTTTTGAGAATGAGGCTTTATGAGGGATCTAGCTATATTGTCCCTAAATGTTCTTTTCCCTTCAGTTGCATTAAAGCAAAACATTTGCTCCAGCTAAATGAAAACACTGAAAGACAATGAAGATACTCAGTTGTTACATTCCGAGGTAGTCTCATTTCTAGTTAGTTTTTTGGCCCACCACGGTTCGGCTCTGCCAGGTCTCCGCATTAGGAAATCCCACATGTAGCCGTCTTTGGACTTAGCACTGATACCAACTGTTCATGAAAAACAAGGTGTCCAAAGAGCAGGAGAAGAGAGAAAAATACCGTGCTTACCCATCCTAGCCACAGCTGCTAGATGTTCCCAGTGAGAGAACGCCCTTCCCTGGTCTGCGAACTGCGTAACCACAATAGCGCCACTCACTCCGTGTGTCCTGTCCCTTTGACCCACCCATCCGTGGGCCGGTTTGCTGCTTAGAAATGCATTTTTTTTTTTTTTCTGAAAATTCAACTCACCTTATATTTTATCTTAGGGCTCTTAAACTTCCAGGTCCACTAGCATGAACTATTTTGGGGGAAACCTTTTTCATTCATTTCCGTTTTAATATTTCACTCTATAACTGTGGTTATCCAGCTGAAGACTGTAGGCCATGGGCCATTTATGCTATGTTTTGGTATCAAAATGCTTTGGGGAGTATCTAATTTCTTCTTAGAGAAATTGTTAAACAAGTAATATGCCATATTTGATTTTTCTTAAAAAAATATTTATTTGTAAAATGAATGCGCTTGGGTCCCCATTGTGGTCAGTCTGTGTAGGAGGAACTAAGACATACATGTGAACATCTTTTCCATCAGTCTTTAGAGAAAATATATGTTTAGTCGTTGCTATGCTTCAACACAATATTGTGTTAGCAGTAGTTTTGAGAGATTGGTATAATCTTTGTCCTTCTTGTCACTGTTAGAAAAGCTTTATTTTCGTCAGTACTTTTCTGTGATAAAGGAAAAAGGGAGAGTAAAGAGAAAAAAAAAAACAAGTAAGCTTATTTCTCCAAGGAGAAATTTCATTTTTTTCAACTGCAGGAGAGGCAGTGGTGTTTGTGGCTGGTTATGAAGCCTGGAGAAGTTATGTTACTGTACGAAAGAGACTTGTACGTTCTTAAGAGAGGAATAAGAAGTCCTTGGAGTTTTCTTAGTGCAGCTTAGAGCAAATTTTTAAAGGTTTCACAAAAAAAGACTGCAAGTCCCGCTCCAAAGTGCTTTCTTAGCTTAGAAGCCATTTTGCGTAATTTCCTGCAGCAAGAGGCTTGGTGGGTTTAGAAAGCAGAGGAACCTCGTGGGGGATGTCAATGACCCTTGGGAGAAAGCCCTGGGGCACAGGTTCCTTCTAGGCTCCCACACCATCAGGACCCTGGGCTACGTGGCTAACGCTTTGGGCCACACTTTCTGACAGAGAGTGCCCCGGCTAGGTAGCTTGGACACTGCCTCAGACTTTATTAGTCACCGTTTGTCGTCTCCGGTCTCTCTCCCCCCACCCCCAGCCTCTGCTTCTGGGAAGAGGGTTAAGTAAGCACAACAGAAGCAAAGCAAAATCCACGCGCGGAATGCCCAGGGACACCTAAACAGAAGGCCCTGACAGACAAAGCACTGGCTGATAGAAAGATCCGCTGTGCGACTGGAGACCCCTGTAGGGTATTGATTTTTCCATTTAAATCCCAAACCGTGATACGTGCCTTCACACTTAACGTCCAACACAGATGACTCAATATATCGCTCGGTGGCCAAGATGCTTTGGTTGGTGGTTGAGCAGCAGCTTCCTTATGCTTTTTATTAATTTGGAAAATGCAAGGCTGTCAGGATGAGTGACATTAGATAAAGCTTGAGGACTGTTTGATAGAAACACAATTCAGTGTGGCCCCATCTACCTCTTTGATAGGCACACACACGTGCACACACACACACACACACACACACACCAAGGTATTTTGCTGGCAGAGCTGAATTTATGACCAAGGCAAATAACTTTCAAGAAGAGAAGCTGTGGAAATTCACATCCCATTAACACTCCAGTGACATGACTTGTGGGAGTCCCAGAGAGGGAACATTTAGAACAAGCTATAGGTGTCTAGCCTCTGCACCAAGCTTCACCTCCATTTCTGGTCCCTTTACCATTTTTGCCTCATTCTTTTGGGACGAGAAGGCTTTCTCTCCTCTTCCCCTGTTGCAATGCTCATATGGATGGTGGAAGTTGTGTGTCACGTGAGGAGGACCTTTACCATGTCATGAGCTCACACCTCACCATCCAGGACTTTCTCAGTTCTTAAAAGACAGCAGAATTTCAGCATAAATACAGCAGAAGCTGGGTCCCTGGAGGGAGAAGACCAGTAGCTAAAAGAAGAGGCATGTTGAGAGGGTTTGGGGGAAGGAACGGAAGGCACCCAAGCCTACTCCCCAGGTGTTCTCAAGGCCAGTGCCGAGAACATCACTGCAATTGAAGGAGGTCAGAATAGAGTCAAAGGACAGCAACAACAGCCTCGTGTAATCGGGTTGGGAAGAAAGCAGCTCTAGGAAGTCTGAAAGGAGAAATAAGAGAAAGGAAACTCAAGGGGGAAATCAGACTGTTTTCCTCAGTTCCAGATTCCCAAGGCATTGCCGAGACATCGACTTTTCCTGAGGCTGTTAGGGGTGGGAGTCTTGCAGAGGGTGGGGGATAGAGTCTGCAGCTGGGAGGCTACATAAAAATAGCATCAAGGAAGAATTCTTTCTGGTCACTCAGAATGCCAGTGTAAGGAGAAGATGAGAAGCATTTTTGTTTTGTGGCCTGTGAGCCGAGGTGGTGGGGAGGTGAGATGCTTAGGCAGATCTTCTGTGGGCTGATTTGTCCATCTCATTTCCTTGGGAAAGTAGACAAAAGTTGGACATAGTCCTTAGGCAGAACTTCTTTGGATTAATATGTTGTTCAGTTAGCAAGACATTATTGAGCATCTTCTGTATACATGGAATTATACTGCACAGTGCTTTTGGGGGACACAAAACAGAAAAAGGCACAGTCCCTTCCCTGAAGGAGCTTACAATTCAATAGGAAGAATAGGCCCATATAGTATTGTAGTCATCAGGAATGTGGGCTCTTAGGGCTTCCTGAAAGTTAGAATTTTGCCCCAGCCAGACTTTAACTTACACTGTATTACTCCAGGGGTATCACTAAGGATCATAAGTACAAAGGCTTAGAATTTATGGTGACACATCTGGCATTACAACACCGTGGATCCTCTTGGACCTCTCTGAACCTCAGATCTTCATCTACAGCATGTGATAATAAAAGGTAATAACCTCAGAAGATAGTGTAAGGCTTGAAAGCGATGACACATTTAAAATGCCTGGTACCTAGTAGCCTTCAGTAAGTGTTAGCTGCTATTATTATGATTCTTCTTATTGCCATGATTGTTACCATTACCCAGTTGGCTGTGCCCAGGAGAGCACCAGCAAAGTTCTGGAGTACAAAGGAGGAAGAGATTATTTCCAAATACAGTAATTAGAGACTTAACAAAAGAGGAGGACACCTTTGATCTAGGCCTTAACATGGGTTGGATTTCCAAAGCTGGAGCTGAGGTGTAAGGGAAGGGGGCATTCTAAGCAGAGGGAAATAACTTGGCAAAGACGAGGATGCAGGAGAGTATAGACCAGGTGTGCTACCGGCCGGTGGCCCCTAAGTTGAGCGGAGTATAGAGTCCTTGAAGGAAAAGGGGGTGAGCCAGCAGGCTGGCTCGTTTGCACAGGTTTTAATAATTGACAATATCCTATCAGGTTTGGACGTCAGTAGCTCTACTTCATGGAAATTCCTAGTGCTTCTGTGGATTTAAAGAAATTATTATGGAGAATCCCTAACATGCACAAGAGTAGAAAGAGTGATGCCATTGACTCCCCTGTACCTGTCACCCAGCTTCAACAATGATCAAACTACTAATCTTGCTTCATCTATTGCTTTATTTTATGACCACCCCATCCCCCCTTTAGTCCACTGAAGGATTGTGAGTGAAGAAGCTTTTTTGGCTTCTTTTTTGGTAAAGACTTTAGGTCCCCCATTTTTCTGGCTAGAAAGAACCTGTTGACCCTGGTTACATTGGGAATTGAAGCTTTGGGACTAAATTCACATAAAACAAATGACTTGGTGATGGCAGTGGGCTCTTCCCTTCCTGCTCAGTCCGAC